AAGGTACCATTCCGTTCGATCAAAACCCTAGCCAAAGACAGTCTCGTTAAATTATAAGTGGGAGCGTCGAGCTTAAGAGGTCTCCCAAACATAACAACTAAAGAGAATAGAATCTGATGATTAAATAAATGAACCTTCAAACCTGGAGATCTAAGCAATACAAGAATAAACGGGGCTTCAGCTTTGGGGTCAAAATTGACAGAACACTTCAAGATTTTCATCACACAATCCTCAAACCACACCAAACACCGGGCAAAAAACGAGCATAATCCTCCTCAATTGACAACTGAATTAAAATATGCCTTCCATCCAAATAACCGATCTTCCAGCCACCAACAAGTTTCATAAGCTCAAAATGTTTCCAAAGGAACTCCAGCTTCAGATGACCATACAAAAATTTTCTCACCAGATAGAGACGACACAAAAAAGCAAGATCGACATTCTCAGAGTCAGAGAGGAAGAGAGTGAACTTACCTCCTTTCCGCCCCGGACGTCGGATGAAACTTGATTCGGTACCCAGCGTGAGAGAGTTGTGAAATGCGGGATGGAAATTAGGGATACTTGGTCACGTCGACATAAGAACGAGTCATGGAGGACTTACTCGCAACGCCATCGAATCGCAAACCCTAGCAGAGCCGGAGCCGAAACCATCTCGTTATATATATATATATTCGAAATCCCAAAAAAGGCTAATATATGAACTAAAAAGAAAGATACAGATATAATGTGTTGGAGGGCCCAAACATGACACCCTACCCACATCAAAACCACCATCAAAATTAGAAGGGTTTTCAATGTTGTGAAAAAACGACGTTAATAAAATGGAAAATAAATCGAGAAAATTACACCAGAAAAGGCGACACAAGATTTACGTGGTTCGGCAAATTGTCTACGTCCACGGAGTTGTAGAGGATTTATTAGCTTTGAGGATTACACCGTCGACCACGTCGACTTACAAGAAAGAATTCTTTCTCTCTCTCTAAACCGAGAGACACACCAAGAAGAAAAAAGACAACTTTAAAGAAGAGTTTCCTTGTGATTCATTTATTTCAGTCTCACGACAAAGTATAATCCAATGAGAGAAAGTTGTTTGGAGAGTCATCCTACTTCCGTGCAATCGCGAGCCCCTTTTAAAGCTTCCCAGTATCCAGCTTATTTTGGTAACCCTTAATTTCGTGATTCCATAAAAGAAAACATGGAATCATGCTTTAATGACCCATATAACCTACTTCCCTGCAATCGCGAGCCCCTTTTAAAGCTTCCCAGTATCCAGCTTATTTTAGTAACCCTTAATTTCGTGATTCCATAAAAGAAAACATGGAATCATGCTTTAATGACCCATATAAAGCCCATTAAGACAAGTTATCAAATTCATTGTTTTTTTCTCTATAGCAACAGGAAGGGCGGGAGATTAATTTGGTAAAGCTTAATTAATTAATTAAGTTTTACTTAATTCTTCTTGTCAATAGAAAGCAACTGCTTTGAATAAAAATAAGGAAGCATCAAGCTATAGCAGGGAACAAAATACATAAGGAAATAAACTTAAATAATTTTCATAAGTGTCGAGGTCGCCAATTCAAGGAAGTGGATTGAGTCTCCACCTTCCTTAACATTTCAAAACTAGAAAATACTGAAAAGTACATTAGAGACAAAAAAATCATAAAAATGCTGAAATACATAGTATCAGGTGGCTAGAGAGCAACCCAATTTTATTTTGCCTCCACCTCTGGTTCTCGGAAAGGGGGCAGCTACCGAAGATTGGCTCACCTGATCTTGGTCTAATGTGTGCTGGAGGTGCAGATTGTTGAACACTAGACACATCTACATGTTGTATCGACTGATCTGTTATTGGATCAAAGGAGCACTCTCGTGTGTCTTGGCATGTAAGTGAGTCTTCTTCAATAACAGTAGATGATATAAGCACAACTGGATCTGTAGTTGTATTATATTGTTCTTCCTCAGGAACTGCGGTGTTGGGAAGAGGATCGGGTGCATCTTCTCAACAGGGATAATAGGTGACTGTTCTTTACTGATATTCGGCCTTAGATGAGGATGCAAACGATAGCAAATAGTAGAGCTAAGGTCAAACATACTACAATGAGAGCAATAAGGAGAATGTGGTTCCATTTCAACCTTTTGCCAATACCCATTATGAATAGTGCCAATCCACATCTCATCCGGAGCAGGTTGAGTCATATCTCTCTCAACTAACACATAAGCCACAAAGGGTCTAGTGACAGTAAGCGTAGGACTATCCATCTTGAGAGGCTTCCTGTAAGCAGTTGCTAAAGAGTAGAAGATTTTAATATTGAACAGATGTAATTTTAACCCCGGAAACTTTATCCAAACAGGAATGATAGGGGACTCCGCTTTTGGATCAAAACCGACATTCCACTTCAGATTTTTCATAAAACGATTGTCAATCTTGATAGTTTTTCGAGAGAAAATGAGTGTAATCAACATCATGAGATAGCTAAATAAGTACATGTCTACCGTCAAGTATGCTAATGTTCCAACTGCCAAATAGTTTCATAGCATGGCGTCGGCAGGGGGCTCTGCTAGGGTTTCGCGCGATGGCGATTCTCAGCGCTGAAACTATCATATTCACTTATTTCCTCCGCCTAAGCTTGCAAGTCGTCTCTCCAACCCGATGACGTCGTTTTTTGTTCACCTTACCGAAGACGATGATGAAGTCTTCCGTTTCGCACGTCGTCTCCTAACCGACGATGTGATTTTCTGCTTACATTCACCTCGTCTTGCAGGCGCCTGAAGACGACGAATCGCATGTCGTCTCCTAAACGACAACACACCTTGCTTGTCCTGCCCGACAGATGTTGTCGCACGTCGTCTTGTAGAAGGTCGCGTCTGTAATGCCCGGCAGACGGTTCGCATCCTGTTTGCCTCTTTGCGGCCCGCCAAACTATTTCTCTCCTGACGTGACCATCTTGTGAGGGAAATAGCCTCGATGCTTCGTTCCTATGCAAATGCTCTAGCCGGCAACTTGCCCTTTCCTGCTAGTGCCCCTCCTCCAGGTTCTGCGTCTGGTTTTGCTATCGGTAAGTCCTGCAATGTTCCAGAATATTTCCACGAGGATCTTGAAGGTGGACATATACAAATACATACATACACATATACAGATACATACATACACATATACACATATACATACACATATACACATATACATATACATATACATATATATATACATATACATATACATATATATATATATATATATAAGTAGATAAATATGAGAGGGAAGACCCTTCCACTTGGGCAACAACCCCAGCCAAAACAAAAGGCAGGCCAACCCCTTGTGGCTCTTCTGCTGATTTGGTTCAACAACTGGTTCAGCCCCAGGCTAGCTCCGCGTCAGAAACAAAATTTGTATGAATAAAATTTAGGAAGATTTACATACATTCCACTCAATTCCTATGTATTTGCATATTTTACACCTATAATTTAAATTTACATCCATGCCACCTTACCTAATGCATGAAAAGGTGTATTTTACTTTTTAAAAATTAAAATGTTCATATTTTTTAAGTGATATGAACTATTTGGGCGGTATATTGTAAAAAGAAAAATTTAGGTGTTAGATATTTAAATATGTAGGAATTGGGTGGTATGCATGTAAACGCCCCTAAAATTTATTGCATTTTAATGAGATAATGTGCATGAAAGAACATTCGGCTATCATATGGATCATTAATTAATTTACGCAAGGATAAAGTGTTCTATATCATGTAGCATTACGATAATAATATTACGAATGGTCTATGAAGGTGTGATGATAAACACTGAATACAAAGATGATGACAGCCCATTACAAGTATCAAAGTTTAATCCTTTAATGGAAAAGACTCTTTTTCTTCCAATAAATAAAAGTTACTTCAAATCATGCGGAGCAAAATGGCAAGTTTTATTGAGACTCATCCAATTCTCACTAAGTGAAATTCATTCTATGGTTTTATAAATAAGAACCTTAAATAAATAACACAAAAATGTAAACATTGAAAATTGATTGCTTACTAAGAGTAGTGCAGCATAATTCCAATTCATCACCTCAGAGTCAACCTAAATTTATTATTATGATGATTAAAATAGATTTATTGCCTTAGACATATTTTTTAACATTACTAAATCTACCACTAAAAGAGTTGAATCTCTTAACATGCTCATCGAATATAATGAGGAGAAACAACATATTCAGTAACCAAAAGATCAAGAAGGGGAGAACAAAATGAAGTTGAACTCTTTTTGGGAACTGTGCATTTTGTGCTCGAGTTTGCTCGAGCCGGGTTGGTTTAGAGTTCATTTTATTGAGTTTATAACATATTGACCCCTATCCAAACCCCAAATTAATTGGAACTTCATGCACTAGGACATGCCTTAATTTTATTGTTTTCATATACCACATTTATGAAGGGCAGGCTTTCCTGTTGTGCTTATTCCAATGTAATTTGCACAGGCACTTAGCTTTAAATGATGGTGATGATTTATGTGGAGCAATTTTATCTTAATAAATCTTTACTTCCATGGAGCCAGTTTTGTTAATGGAATGACATACTAATGCCCCATTTAGTTGCTTTTTGATGAAAAAATATGTTCTAGAAAGTGATATTTTATTCACTTATTTTGGGTGCAAAACGAAATTCTAATTTTTGAGAGTTCGAGGAGTTAAAATCAAAATTAATTTCAAATTACATCCAACCAAATGGCAGAATCTAGTAAATTCATTGTTTTTAATAACATGTTTTCTAACTTCCAGCAATGAAAGGGGACCTTAAAAGAGCTTTATGCATATAATAAACAGAATTATTCCGCCTTGATAGAAACGTGAAACTGTGTATTTCACTTTGAAGTAAATATTTTAAACTATTCTATTACTTTTAGCTTTAGCTTATAACTGACTTATTTTGTTTTTTTTTATTTTTTTTATTTTTTTGTAACTGCATTGTTTTGTGGATCCTTATATGTTTGATCTATTTGATCAGTCGGTTGAAGAAACTAGGAACGTTGAACAAGAAGCAATAATTGCGGCTGCTCCCTTAGATGCTGACAGGTTTTCTGGAATCATGATGAATACTGAAGAAAATTTGAAACATGTTAAGAATGACTCCTCTTTAGAAGTTTCAGCTGGCAATAAGGTTGCTTCTGATCAATCTTCTTCTACTTATTTTACCGTGTAATTTCTTAAATTTTATACTTTATATAGTTGTTGTTTTCTCTCTTGATTTAAAGTTAAAAATCATTAGTCTATACATCTTTAACAACTTTATGTGCTTATAATTATGTTCTTTTATTTAATCTATGACAAGAGTCATTTTTGGTCAATATATTTTGAGAACTTGTGCTTGTTTGCTTGTTAGAGGCCTGACGTATTGGTCGATTAATTTGGTCAGATAAATTGTGTGCAAAAAACATTGTTTTTTGTTTGTATTCTATTGTGGTAGTAAACTATGATGCTGCTTTGAAATGTTTATGTATTAATTATCAACTTCCTATATTCTTTAAGCTTAGTTTATTTTATCTTTTATCAACAGCGTAAGCATGAAGTTCTAGAGGCAGAGGAAGACATTCAAAACATAATAAATACGAATGAAGTTCTATGGCGGGCAAATTATGAGAAATTTTTGCAGTGTCTTAAGAGGAAGGTGCAGTTTCACAAAAAATAGCTAGCATAGAAGTTAATTTTATCACAGATTGATGTCTTTAACTTTTAGATAATATTTGCACTCAAGTCACTAACATATCTTGCTTCATTATCTTTTTTGAAGATTTACATACATACCACTCAATTCCCATGTATGTACGTATCTAACACCCAAACTTCAAATTATGTTCACATACTACCTTACCTATGCATGAAAAGATGTATTTCACTTTTAAAATGTTAAAATGTCGGTACTTTTGGCGTGCTATAAAATTTTTGGGTGATACAAATGTAAAAGCAAGGTTTAGATGTTCGATATGTAAGTACATTGGATTTGAGTGGTATGTATGTAAATGCCCCTATCTTTTTCTATGTTTGAGTTTATAATATTTGGGCATGCAACTAAAGCAGCTCTATCTGCAAGCATATCTTGGACTCATAGAATTGATTTATTCTTTTTTTTTCTTTCATAGGCTTGTGTTGCTAATGTAAGATCAAGGTTTGGTCTCGATGCCGCTATTGTGTTGGAAGCAATGATAGAGTCGAGCAATCATCAAAATGCTAGAACCATGATTTCTGGTTACTCCTGCTACCTTTATCATCTACATCTTTATGCTAGCTTGGTGAATTTATTTGTAAATCTTATGTTGCGTTTTTGTTACTTCAATTAGCTAATGATACTTATGTTGGAATACTCTTACAGTGAATAATTTTGTTTTAATAAAAGGTAGGTGTTACTTCAATTAGCTAATGATACTTTATGTTGGAATACTCTTACAGTGAATTATTCTTACAGTGAATAATTTTGTTTTAATAAAAGGTATCGCTATTTATTTTCCCTCTGGCCTCTATGGTGTCCCAACAAACTCATGGGATTTATCTTTAGAAAGCCTATCTTAGAACTTGTTTAAATGACTGTTTTTTTGCTTCTTCCAATATCATGACCAATGCTATTTGCTTACTATTGTTTAACATGTGTTTACCAAAGCACTAAAAATCAAACTGGGCTTCAAACTAGAGGACGGAAGGGCACATGATTTAAAGGTTCAGCTATAGTTATCTTAGAGTGACGTGGGATGCGAGATTACCACGATTCCGCAGTTCCATGGGTCCGCAAGCCGTGGATCAAGCTTAATGGGCACCGTTAATTCTTTTTTATTTTTTATTTCCAATTTTTCAACAAGTTTTTTCCTTTTGTTTCTTTCCTTTCTGGTTCATCCTATTTTCCTATTTTTCAATAAAGTTTTTTCTATTAGGTGATTTCTGTATATATTGTAGCAAGATTGTTTGGTTTCCAAATTTTTTAGACTTTATGAATTGTGAGACATTTTTCCTCTGATTTCTACTCTTTGGAGTGTTGTAGCCTCTTCTTTTTGCAAGTGGTGTGTTTGTAGCTTGCTTAGGAATAGGTAGTGGACCTCCCTGATACCGAAACTAGTAGGGAAA